CCCCAAAAAAAGCCCACAGTTCTCACAAGAGCATATAACTCCAGCTGAGATTTTAAAAAACTTTTCCTTTGACCTTTTCCGATGGGCAGGACAGACATTTAGGATAACTGAAATTTTATAACGATACAACATCGCATTGGCAGAACTTTGTCCAACTCCTACTGCAAACCCTGAGGAAGCAATACTTCACCCCAGGGAGAGTCAATGGCTAGGGCTGATCTTTCCTGAAGTGGATTTCCTTTCTTGAGCCAGTTTTTGAAGTCCCAAAGATGAGCATTCAGATGAGCTCAATACTCAAAACTAAACAATATCACTTCTGCTTTATAGAGACCCATTTAAGTTTACAGTATTGCAGAGAAGGAGAGGAATCTTTCTGTACAATAAATGGTAATAACAGAGGACATTATGATTCTGCTTATAACAATTAAACAGATTGTTCATAACAGTTCCTCTAAAAACATTCTTGACAAGATGTACATCAAAAGAAATACCTGAATAAATCACCGTCTGTATTAAGTCAAAAACAAGTGGCTATATATACAAAACATATTGTGTGGAGTCACTGGCCTGAAAAATGAGCACAGATGACTGATGCTCTTTATAAAACTACCCTCTCGGCGTGACATCACGAGCACTTCTTCCCTTCGGGAAGCATCCTGCTCTGCTGGTCTCGCCAAAAGTCTAAGACAATCTGAGCAAACTGCGCCGGTTGGTCCAGGTTGACAGCATGGCCACACTTCGGCATAATGTTCACCCGCCGGCAATTGGGCAGGTGCTTCCTCAGAACGTCCACCCCGGACACATCCACTATCTGCAAACAGAAGAGTCAAATCACTGAAGGAGAAATTTTCAGCAAAATTAGTCTCCCTTTTTTTTCTTCTCTGTAACAGTTTTGTTTTTGTCTTAGTAAGCTTTTTAAGGAACTTGCAACACAATTAGGTCACATAAGTACTGAAGATTAGAGGTGTTTCAAAAGAGTTAAAATCACAAAAAAGAAGAAGGAGAGATAAGAATGATAGATGTTTGACAGGAAAGAAGTAGAAAAACCACACCACGGCACCCACTAACAGGTAACAACTACTAAAAATAGGTAATTTTAGAGACCAGTTCCCTGATGTTGAACTTTGAGGGATCTATTTTTGCTCTGGAAAATCTTGATCGCAACAAAAACTGCTTCAAGTCTCCAACATGCTGCAAAATAAAAGTTATATCATGTAAGAAAGAGACACAGAGAATGATGTACAGAAAAGTGGAAAGAGATGGAATAATATCAAGAGGCTAGCCCGTGATAGGAAAAGGTGTAAAAAGTTGGCTCGTGGCCTATACCCTGATGCGGGGTGAGAAAGGCAATAATGAGTTGTTTTATGCATCTCTACTCACCCAGTCTTCTTGGCCCCAAATGACTTGCGTTGGGCTGGAGATTTTAGACAGGCTACTCTCCAGCATGACTTGAGATGGTTCTGAGATTATTTCTCTGACCACTGTAACAACAATAAAGGTGAATTGCTTTCAAACTAATCTTATAGGATATGAGATGAGTGGTATAGGTTCCATTTGATAAAGAAAAACAATAAAAACACATTGATCTAAATTAGAAGGTCAAGCTGCTATGTGTAAAAAATGACTCATAATAACTATTCCCAAAAATACACACATTTGTTGTCTATACCCTTCCCCATCTATTGTTTCCTTTACATGTTACAAATTTTTATTTAGGAGAAAGTCTTTTTTTCAATGTGTTCATTTTCAGTTATGTAGCTTACAATACAAAACTATTTTCAAACAACCCAACTTCAAGAAAACCCCTCAACAACCGAGTTTCAAGATAACCCTCTCCTTACAGATTTGCTCTGAACCAGGGTTGCCAGTGCAACAGTCCTTCATGACACCACAGGAGAAAGGCTTTTATACCATACTTGGAGCTGTTTTAGCATTGCACTTCCGGTAAAATATATCCTTATATTTCACGTGTGAAATATAGGCTGGTTAAGCCGAAATCTCACACGTGAAATATAAAAATTTGCATAAATTACTCCGCGCACTAGATCTAGATCTATATTCGCCTTCTACTTCTATCCCTCTGTGTAGGCTACAAGCAAAGTAGCCTAGATCTATATATCTAGATCTAGATCTAGATCTAGTAAAAACTTAAAAACTTCGCTGGAAAGCGCGCTTACCATGGGCAATCAAACACTTCTCCCAGTCTTGCTATCCCTTATACTTATAGTCGAGTATAGGTGCAAATCTTTCTACGTTGTTCTTAATTTTGTTTCAAATAGAGTCAAGTGGTGGGCACAGTAATGAACCAGGATTACGCCAGAGTATGGTGCTGTTACGTTCGGTTCATTTCTCGAATAAAATAATCTAAGGATGGACAGAAGATCTAAATACTAAATACATTTTAATTAGATCTATCAATCAAAATGATAGATCTACAACACAACTAATTAAATAGCACCACTTTGGCACTTAGAATCTAGCTAGATCTAAGTCTAGATCTAGACCCTAGGTCACCCTAGGTCTAGAGGCCTGTATCAGCTTGAATAAATGAAATGATCGTGAAAGGTTGACAAAGGTTTGAAATTTTGTAGTCACTTTATCAAACAGTAAAAAAGCCACTGTTTAGATCACTTGCGTTGCCTTTTGAATTTTTGTTTACATTAATTCTATCACAACATATATTAAATGATCAACTATATAAATGAAAGAAGATTAAACTTTAAAACAATATGTAATTAATATATGATATTAGTCAATATACGAGTATAACACTCTTGGATAACTACTTTTTTGGAAATAATAAAAGTTACTTCCCTTGTTATTCTGATATTCTAACCTCCCCTTAAAAAATCCAGAATATCTAAATACATATTTAGAATTGGTACATCAATATCCAAGTAGCTTGACAACTTGGGTTGTTAAAAAAGCCTTTTTTTCATCTTTGACCAATTTAAAGCAATGCATTAGATCTAAGATGCATCTAGATCTAGATCTAGATCTAGAGAATAGAATCTAACTCTTTGCCTTTGGTTTGTTTTGGTTACGAAGTTTGAAATCAAAATCAAATTAAGTCATCTCTATTCTAACAAAAACATGCTAGATTTATATTAATGCAGTTTTTTTCAACTTTTGAATCGTACACTTTCTGATTACTTTGCTTATATTTACGTTATGATAGTTTTGTTTGGGGTTTGTTTCGCGGAGGGAGACATACGGATAGCACAACTTGTAAATTAGCGTGGCTAAAAGTTAAGGAAAACAATCCAGATTTTGCCCAATTCTCAATCTGACTTCGACAGGCATGAAACTGTTTTCATGTGAGACTCTAGAATGGACCCTCTTGTCCAATTGACGGGCCCTTTGAACTTTGTTGGTACGGACGTATTTCACCAGCTGATGTCAGTATGGTATAAAAAATTTATTACATTTGTTGTGGTGATAGACCATGATTTATCCTACTTGTGAAATTGCAAGTTGTAATCACTCGTTGAAACTCGTGATTACAACTTGGCAATTTCACTCGTAGGATAAATCATGATCTTACACCACAACTCTTGTAATAAATTATTTATATCCCCTAAACTGACTGCAATTGTGTTGTGAACTAGAAATGCACGACTGTGACAGGGACAGCTTATCATGTGTGTCAATAGGTCAGCTTATTTGTGTCAAGATGACAACTTTATCAGTCCCTGACAAGAGAATTATCAGTACACAAGGGTACCTGATGACGCCATCAGCTCAGAAGCTGATGGACGTCTTCCATCATTTACAAGGAACAATGACAAGAATGTGACCTTATGACCTCAGAGCTTACGACAGCTGCTCTGATAACAAAAATACGGTCAAGAAAGAAGCAACCTAGATTTAGAATACATTCCCCACTATGTATAGACATGAAACCAGCACAATGCTAGAATACAAAGTTCACTGGAGTGTGGAGATTCCATTCAACGATAGCAGCTACAGAATAGACTCATAGCCTCAAAATAATTAAATCCCAGAGGCAAAAATAAATATGTCGATATCTTAGACAATATCCTGACAAAGAGATATATATATAAATATAGGAAAATATCCATATTAGATGTAAACCAGGTTTTGCCACACACATTTGTTGATAATTGAGCCTCTTTCAGAACAGCATAAGATTAAATGTCTGAACTTTAAAGGAGCATTCAAATCAACAGGTTCCCCCCTCCCCCCAACATACCCCCTTATCCCCGGAAATTAGGTATATCATAAGCTGCAAATTTTTATCACACTCACACACATCATTGCTCCTTCAATGGAACATCATAATATAATAACACATTTTAAGTGAAGAGAAAGAATGTAAAAGCTTACAACGCAGGTAGAAGTCATTTTTCCTTTTCCGCAGTTCAGCCACACCTTTCAGAATCTGAAAAAGAAGTGGAAATACAAAAAAATTGACGTTGAAATATTGACTCAACCTCAAAACCTACAAAGCATATTTATTTGCTCCGCATAATGTAAAAAAGCGTATAAAAAATTGACAAAAGGATATGCTAATGACCTTAATTAAATTTTTTTAAACCCTCCATTAAGTCAACCCAGCTAAAACATTAAGGAAAATTACAACTGTGAGGCAGTCAGGTGCTCGTCAAAATAACGAAATCGGAAAAACAGGCCTTTTTCCTGCCAGTTTGAACATTTTATAGAATCTCTATTCTCTTTAACGTCCGTATAAAAGCACATTTCCAAGTGACTTTTACTGAAAAACATTAATTAAAGGCACAAAATATGTCATTTTTTCAGTTTTCAAAGACTCTTTAGCTATTGGAGTTACCATACTTTTGCGGCCATTTTCTCACTAATTTCACCACTGAAACAAATTGCGAATATTGTTGTTTCAATGGAAGCCAGGCAAATAAATCAGCTTTCAAATGATACCAATAACTCCACAAGCTCCAAAAATTGACGAGCGCCTGATTCCACAGCATTGTGACACAATTACAAAAATTTACAGGGACACCAACATCTGATAAAACCTCTCAAAAGATTTGGAGCTAAAAAGCAATATCATTATCAAATGCGTAACAACCGCCCACCACTTTAAAGAGATCCAAAAAATAATACTAACCTGTGAGGGGTAGGAGACGGAAAAGTAATGGCTGATGTTGAGCATCTCCTGCACTTGCCTCGACGTCTGCGGCAGCATGGGGCAGTTCTCAATGGTCAGCTCACCCGCCTGCAGCACTCGCTCTTTGTTGCTCTTGATCATGTGGCTTTCTTCTGGCGTTTTCACTGAATCACGAGGGATAAATACCTCTTTAGTCTCATCTTTATAAATTGTGAAATGAGCACCACACGGCGAGGTAAAAATATTTTAAAATTCCTCCTTAATTTCATCTGCACAGATTGAATATTAATCTGCAGGATAACAAATATTCAACCATACCCCCTTCATTTCCTCTTCAAATATTGAGTACCAAGCTACAGAGTAAAATATATTTTAACACACTGCCTTACTCTTATCTTTACAAAACGAGTGCCAAAACAACAGGGTAAAAATATTCTGACACCAACTATTTCTTAATCATAATATCAGTAGCAATAGGATTGCCCTACAACTGAAACTCAAGGCCTACTGAACTTTTGAAAATACCCAGTGCCGTCTTCAAGTTTGAATTAAATTTATTTTAAAAAATAATAATATACTCCCTCAAACATAGCATGGCATGATCACTGTGCCAGAATGTTGAGAAAATTCAAAGAAATGTTATTCACATCATGCGGGTTTGTGAGTGCACTACTAAAATGTTATGAATCAGAACTTGTATTGTGTTGCAGAAACTGGTGAGAATGCACACTGTTAATTTCCTTCTATGAAAATTTGAAAAAAACATTTTTCTCACTATATCTTATTATGTGGAAATTGAAAAAGATAGGTTAAAAGGCCACAGCATATCTAAGGGAAAGGTAAAATATTTTTAAACAGGGAAAAAAAGGACTAGGAGCCAAGGCCATGGTTTAGTAAAGATATTATTTTAAAAACATGAGAAATAAACTTAAATAAGACTACAGAGCAAGTTTATTTAAAGAGAAATAATCTTAAATTAGATTATAGAAGCTAAGACAGCTGTACTCACTGCTGGGACATGTGAGACTCAATGCCCCGACCAAGTCTGGAAACTCGGCAGCAAAAAGACCAGCCAGAGCCCCACCCATGGAAATGCCCACCAGATGCACTGGCTCAGTCAGGTCAATCAGATCCAAGAACTGAAATTAAAAATGAAACATCGTTTGTTTTAGTTGTATAAGTAGAGGTTTTACGGCGCTGGCAACTGCATAAGGTTATATGAGCACTAAGGGGTGGATGTCAACAGAGAAGTTCTTTCAGGGAATCAGATTATTCTGCTCACCTCTCTAGCTTCAACAGCACAAAGTCTGCTTCGACTATCAAGGCAACCCGGAAATAGTCTTGTGACAAACATACAAAAGAAGAAGAGGAAAAAATGACGATAGTAAGGATTAGTAAAGAAAAAGCAGCAGTTCCCTGTTACGGGTCAGGCATAGTTATGAGCATGACATTGATGAACCAGCACATTTACAATTACAATTCTACTGAGCATAAGAACTCGAGATGTTAATATCCCCCCTTTGGGAATGGCCAGTCAGTCAGTGGCACCGCCCCGGGGGTTCTTAAACATTGTGTAAAACTTTAGAAGAAGCATTTTTAAAATAAACAAAAATGCTTGAAAAGGAAAAAAAAAGTTTCCTCTGAGGTACTATACATATATGTGAGGCATCGTGGTGAAAGCAGGCACTCGTCAAAATAATGAAATCGAAAAATCAGGCACTTTTCTCCCAAATTGACTATTTATTTCGAATATTTGTTTCTTGGATCAACGCCTTCCTTTTATGTCCATGTAAAAACACATTACTATATATATGGATTTTACTTAAAGACATTGATAAAAGACATAAAAAATGAAAATTTTCAGTTTCCAAGGACTCTCAAACTATGGAAGTCACCAAACTTTGGCAGCCATTTTCTCACTAATTTTATCTCTGAAACCAGGCGACCCCTTCCTCCTTCAATCACTAATATCTCTACTTCTATTCAATATAGATGGGCACTTTTTTCATTAAAACAAAGGGAAATGAATACTCTTTAAGATGAAAATAACTTCACATGCCCAAAAATTGACACGTGCCTGATTCCACCACGTCGTGACACATATTTGTTTTTCCAAAAGTGTTCAAGGTAGCCTTAACCCATCTTGGATCATAACAAAAGATCAAGAAACAATTTGAAAATACTGTACTTTTCAAGTACAATACACAGTAAACTGGAAATCAAACTGGTTTCCCTTTTCCTTACTTGTTTAATACGTGTAACTTGGGCCCTGAAGCCAATGTCGTCATTATCCAGTGGATCCATGGTGAAGCCGTGGCCGGGCAGATCAACCGCAATTACATGAATCGATGACGGAATATTCTGCAAAGCAAATTCAAACTTCAAGAGCTGGACCAAAGTAATCACACACTGACTCATCATCCATAAAAGTGATTGCTGGACAAGGTAAAAGTACAAAATGAAAGTACTCACACTCTGTTCTTTAAAAAGGAACCACTAAGGGCTGAAATTTGAACCAAAAAAGTTTCAAATTGCATTTAGTGTATCGCAATGACAAGGGAACATAAAGGAGAAGGTTATCAAATTGAAATGAAAAGCAAGTTTGGGCCACTACATTAATAGGATTTCCAAAGGTTAAGACTCGGACATAAGTGCCACTGACAAAAAGTATAAGGAGCAGACCACACTTGGGCTTGCACCATCTATTTAACACAGACCAAACATTGAGAAAAATGCTACTGATATTTCAAATATCAAAGAAAAGATAAACATTCTCTTCAACAAAAAATTGTGAAAAAAAAAATTTATTTGATTTTTTCATCCGTTCTTGACATGATTAAATTTATAGAGAAGCTCCTAATCCATGCACAAGAAGCCAATGTTTTCCCAACATAAAAGTTATGTTGTAAAAACACAGCCTACAACAATGGAATATATACGTAAAAGAACTTCATTTCACATGAAAAAAAACAAAAAACTTGAAGCCACAATTTAAACACACCTGATTCCCACTTAGAATCATTTTTATTTCTCTTTCTTCTCAAACTGCTTTGGTTATAAAATTCAGTAGACCTCAGGCTCAAGCAGACCAACTACACTAACCTGTATTGCTCCACACAGATCTAATGTGTTGTTCTCCATTTTCATACGTTGTCAGGAAGTTGCTTTAGTTTAGTTTTAGTGAGTTCTAAAGCACTTGCAACATAGTAAGGACATAGAAGAGCAGAGGTGTTACCAGAGAGTAACAAACATTAAAAAAAGAAGGAAAAGAGATAAGGAAAGAAGGAGCAAACCACATCAGAACACCCAGCAATCACCCACTGGAAGTTGTTTGTTTTTTTCATTTCTGAGTACAAATTACAAATAATATTATAATAATTTGAACATGAAAGTACTGAAACACATTTTCTGATTTCGTAAAACACTAAAACTGTGTATGTAATTTTGCATCATAAATGAAGAATCTTATATTACACCAACCAACATCAACACCAACAGACTGCAGAGACACTAAGTGCGTGATCAACAGCAACAATAAAAACAAACCACAAACTTACCTGAACAATCGGAGCCCACATGAAGTGGTCAGCAGTGAAGCCATGCAAAAAGACAACACTCATTTGTCCTTTCGTTTTCTGGCCCTTTTCACCATAAAAGAACCGAAAGCCATCTGGTAACAATTTTGTGCACCTGATCTTCATGCCACTCCATCTAACAGCCACTCTGTAATTAAAGGCATACAGCAAACTGTTTACATATGTGTCACAACGCAATGGAATCAAATGCTTGTCAATTTTTGGGCAGATGGAGAAAATAAAAATCCACCAGTCTCAAACAGAAGTTGAGATGTTTAAGACTGAAGGAGATGGGGATCACCTGGTGTATCAGAGGAAAAAATTAAAAAGAGAATACGGCTGCCAAAGTTTGGTAACTTCCAAAGCTTGAGCATCCTTGAAAACTGCAAATTTACATTTTTTGGGGTCTTTGATCAACATTTTTCAGTAAAATCCACTTAAGTGGACATAATAGTGTTGAGCCATTTAAAAAATTCGATAAAAATTGTCCAATGTGCAGAAAAATGCTGGTTTCTCCTATTTCTAGTCTTCATTTTGACGAGCACCTTATTTGACCATGATGACACACACTGTAATATCATTTATAATAAGACAGAGTCATATTAGTGTGTTGTATGACAGCCACTCATTGTTGAGGAGAAAAATGGCAGTCTTAGACCGTGTGACCGTTTTAGACAGGGCTGATCAAAATGAAAATTGTATCAAGCAAATCACTTCCTTTTGAGGTTCAAACCAGAGGCTTGGTACTGTGTAAGGCCCATTGAAATATATATTACTGAAAGATCAACTTGGATACAAAGAGATGGACCAGAAACCTTGCCTTCATGGAGTGGTGAAGCGGATCACCAATTGGTTCAGATTAGCATTAATAACTGATGAATGAATTTTGACAGTTCGTCAACAGCATCAGTAGTCAATAAATGATTTATGGCAACACCTTGGCCATAAGCGTGGCCATCTTAGACAGGTTTTTTTGGCTGTTGGTTGATAAAATATAGTGACCGTGGCCACATTGGACAGATTATCGTTACAATATGCAGTGCCATTTTCACATGTGTCATGACGTGGTTGCATCAGGCACTCGTCATCTTTTGGGCACATTGGGTGATTGATATTATCTTAAAGTCAATTCAATTGCCTTTCTTTCAGTGAAAAAAATATCCATCTATCTTGAATAGAAGTTGAAATATTTGCGATTGAAGGAAGTCAGGGTGGCCTGGTTTCAGAGGTAAAATTAGCAAGAAAATGGCCGCCAAAATTTTTTAACTTCCATTGCCTGAGAGCGAGAGTCCTTTGAAACTGAAAATTAAATTTTTTTGTGCCTTTAACCCTTCCAGCCCCAGCCATTTTTGTGCACTCCTTTACCCCAGTACCAGCCAATACAGCGGTATTTCAGAGAAACTGGCATGCATTCTAAAAAATGATGTAGTATCTTTGTAATGAGGTTTAGGTAATAACATAGAACAGTGTTCAAAGGTAAATGAACAAATATTATGAAAATTAGAGTTTTAATTAGGTACGCTAATTTAGAAAAATGCGCAAATTTGGTACCCCCTGAAACTGAGAATATACGCTCTTGGGATGGTGGGAGGTACAAGCTCTGCTGAAAATATACGCGCATGGGGCTGGAAGGGTTAATCAATGTTATTAAGTAAAATCCACCCAAAAAAAAGTTTTTGAATGGACATCATAAAAGGGACTGAGCTAAAAAAAAAAAGTTTTTTTTTTAATGGCGCATCGGAAAAGAAAAAAAAGCCGATTTTTAAAATTTCATTATTTTGACAACGCCTGATTTCAATACGATGCCTCACATATAATGTGAAAAGTGGCCCTTTGTACAGGCAGAAATCTTTACCATGTAAATGGCCGCCTCCATCTGGATGGGCAGGTTGTTACAGAAGTCCTTCCAATACTTCTACTACTTAAGACAAAAAAGTGACTTCGTGAAAAAAACCTACTAACCTGAAATAAGCTTGCAAAATCATACTTGGCTGCATAAAATACACATAAAGGCTCATCATGGCTGTTACTGTGACCACAGTCAGTGCTGCTGGGTTCATCAAGGTCAGCTCAGGGTACACTAAATCCACAAGGTCCATCTTGATGTTATGATGTATAAAATGACTGGTTTCTTACACAGGGTAGTGGATTTGTAAACAGAGGTCTGTTACAAAGTTCTGAATCTGGTGAAAGAAAAATCAGTTCCAGTCTCGAAGTTGCCACCAATTTGAGAATTGTGAAACAAATGTTAAAAAGTATTGAGAAAAATGAAATGGGAAAAAAACGTCGGTGTGGTTTTGTGAAAATTCAGTTTCATAAAAAATGTCTACCTTGTCTACCCACAAAAATAACTTATAAAACAAAAATACCTAATACTGATATTCGAAGTAAAAGAACATAGTTGACAGTCGGAACAAAGTAAAGTAAGAGAATGTTAATAAGAAAGCAGACAGTCTGAGATAGTTGCCTCTATGTTCTCCTATTCTATTGTGTGCTTTAAGAACATTTAAAGCAAAAATTAAAACAAATCTACCAGACCTCAGTCTCAGGCTATAGCAGGGTCAGGGGAAAATTTCCAGTTCTAACTTGCTTTCAAATTGTCTTACTGTAGGCCTATAGAGACGGCAATCGAAGCAGTCATGACACCTACACAAAAACACCCATTTTTTTTTAAGCAAGTGGCTATTTTTCGGCATCACGCCGGTCATTTGATCTATGGCTATTCTCCGGTGTCCTGTATAGTTGCACATGTCGCATGTATGGCCTTGCACAAACACTCATCAGGGTCGGCATTTCTTCAGAATGTGATTCACCATAGGTGGACACACAGCCACTGCAGTACTCAATGAAAGCTCCAGTGACGGAACAAGGAGGAGTTTCTGAGTCACAGGTGACAGCACCAGAAGTGCAGACAACCCTCAGTCACAACCAGAAGTACAGGAAGGGGCGTCTGGTACTGAACTCAGTTGCAACAATAATATCCATGATAACGTGCTGACAGGGGAGATGGAAAGCTGTGGAGAAGCGACATACACTATACCTGACGCTGGAGAATAGCCATCGAACTATTGACCGGCGGAACGCCGGAGAATAGCCACTTTCTTTTTAAAAACGGAGTGTAAGAAGGCCCCTTTACTCTTTGTAAAATATTTTTTAAAAATCTAAAGTATCGCTGTCATTATTATTCATCATCATAAGGCCATTATTTAAATTATTATCACTTTATTTCATTAATTATTATTCATGTTATTAGGCCTAGGCCTATGCCTATCCCAACTCGTAACTCTCAGAGATTCTAGTCAAACTCTGTTGAATGGGTACAAGAATCTAGACCTGATTTGACTTGCCATGATGAGGGAACAAAATTTAACAGACAACGGCCAAACAGCTGATCGGTTGGGAAGAGGAAGTAGTGAGAGTAATCTCATCTGCTTTATTGGAATTTACAAAACAATCCACAGCTAATTACCGAAACTGTAACACAATAACTCAATAACATGAATGATCGTAAGATCACAAGTTCAACAAACTCAATACTCATGAACCAGGTCCTTTAAAATTTATTAGATCTTGATCTAAAATCAAGATCTACAAATCTAGAATCTAGATCTAGATCTAGATCTAGATCTAGATCTAGATCTAGAAATCTAGAGATCTAGATCTAGATCTAGTTGATGATAAGGCTTGGATTTCTAAGCCAAAAGAAGGCAAGGCATGGAGGAAACTATTGAACTGGAAAAACAATCCATTTCCTTCATTTAAAATGTCACTTACTTTAACTTTAAGTGTAAGGCTCTGGGATGAAGCCCTCTTCCTTTCTATAAATTGTTCTTCAAAATTCGACTGAACTTAATTAATCTTAGAATAAATATAACCTGACACAGTGACAGTCACAGTGGCAGTGAGTCACCACGCCCATGATGATATAAATCTACTGGCACCGGTGAATCAATGATGAATGAATCACAACATATTAAAATGGTCCTTTTAAAATACACAATCAAGTGAACAAGAATCACAAGTAGATCTAGAATATCTATCTAGAATGTAGATACCCACCTTTGTTTGCAATCTTAGTATGCACCAGTCACTGTCACGTTCGAATTTAGGCGTTTTACGTAACGTGTTTACACCCAGGACCAAACAGAGCTTTGTTGTGAGTCTACCCCGCTACTTGTTTCAAGTGCTTCTTCATTCTTCAGCAGTCGGTCACTGCAGCTGATTTTACACCACTCCACCGATTACGATAGTTTTGACATCGCCTGACTGAGGAGGGTTCAAAGTTCAATCTGTGCCGTTCAAGCTGAACAAAACTCGAATTTAAAAAGTCGAATATCAGCCTCCCTTTGATTAATCGATTATGATTAATCTTTGTACAAAATGTTATTTATTCATATTATATTACAGTTCATGCAAAGGTATTTGTCTCTTAAAATGTCGTTGAAAGTCGTAGTATTCTTAGTGTAGAATGTGTTCATTTAAAGCAAGAACATTTTACCACACAACAAGATAGGTCTACAGGGAGAGCAATTTAAGTTATTCGATTTCCTGATGGTAACACGTGTACTCCAAAACTTGGATGCAAGGGGCAAGGATCAAGGCTGTCGTAGACTCATTATTGCTTATTAGATCTAGCTCGAAACTCTAAAGCCTAACTGGTAGTGTATAATAGGCCTTGGGTGGTTTGCATTATTGTGTACAGTGGGCCCCCAATTAAAACAGACGTCTCGGTTGTAAGATTTCGGCTTGATCAGATTTAAAATAAATCCCCGAGACCGATTTCTTAGGGTGAAAACGTACAGAACGCCGATTTCGGAGACTTACTCAAGCGACGATAGGTATACAAATTCCCTTATGACTTCCAACTCGCCCCACCAGAGCTGGCAGACTGCAGGCTGCTTTAAGCTCGGATCGGCGTTGTCGACTTTATCGGAATCCAAACTACATTCTTATTACGCCGAAAAAACTGTGAAGGGCGCCTCCCTGTCAACTCGCGACCCCAGTGCTTTCTTGTCGCATCTCCATTTTTTAACAGTGAAAATGTGACTTCTTCTTAAGTTCACTCTTTGTTGTGAACTGTTTTCACTGTTATTAAAAATTGAGATGCGACAAGAAAGCACTTTGAGGTCGCGAACTCTAAATGCCGTCTCGCCGTCGCGAACTCGGGTTGAGCGGTTTGCGTGACGTCACCCGACAGGACTGGGGACAATTTGAAATGGTCATTTCAGAGCTGGTGTTTCACTGTAGACAAAAACTAATATTTTCTTTAAATCAGCGTCGTCAAATTAGGGTGGTAATCGAGCAGAATTACATTTTAAGCAATATTTTAGGAATTTCGAGGTTTTTTTTTATTCCCAAATAAATGCTTCATAGATATCAGCTGTGTTGTGGTGTAATTTGTTTCTTATGTCTAGGTCTAGGCTTTAGGCGTCCTGCATGTGGGGTCAAGCAGACACCTACTGCGCCTGTCCGCGTCGATCTTCAGACGCTTAAGTTTCGGCGTTCTCTATGTTTTCCCTCTTATAATGTATAGACAAAAAGGCCGTTCACGGCAGACATAATTTGATAAGCATTGAATCGCGTTGCTAAAACAGCAATAGTGGCCCAAACCTGACAAAAACCCTACACAACAAATGGACAAGAAAGCAGAAAAAAAACAAATTATGAAGCAAAACAATATCCATGGCGAATTCACCCACCATACAAGTTGTTGAGGATTTTCTAGTGGTTAGACTGCCGGACTCATAATCGTGAAATTGCGGGGTCGTGGTTTCGAGCCGCGGGCCCGACGTTGTGTCCTTGGGAAAGGCACTTAACTCGAATTTTCCTCACTTCACCCAAGTGGAAATGGGTATCCGGCCACAGACAGCGAAAGATCTTGTCAGTATGTTAGTGTTTTAGCGACTTTAAATGGCTGCTTGCATTGTATGCTTCCCAGGAAGTTGAGTTTGTTTCAGAATGCTCTCAGGTCTTCTGGGGTAATAGTTTGTGAAGCGCATATATGCGAGAGGCTCTGCACGTTTCGGCTTTCTAATTTCTACTGCCTCAAAACTGTAGGCCACACCACAAACAGAATCCGAGCCCACTGACACCGACACTTAACTAAAGAAAACGCAGAGCCGGGGGGGGGGGGGGGGGGGGATAGGGGAGGATGTGCTCAGTCTACGCTTTGGTCAAGGGCTGCGAGGGTGTGCAAACTAGGTCAAGAGTCAAGTCATGCCTTGACACGTCCCACAGCGGGGATTCAGCCCCGTGCCTAATATAACCATCTGTGTTTTTGTTGTTGTTGTTGTTGTTGTTGTTCTGGTTTTGTTGTTGTTGTTTTTATAATCTCGGCCTTGAGCCGTGCAAGGTCAGTACTAAAGTGTCAATCAACATGTGGGAACTTAATTAAGCGCCGGGTTTAAGGGACAATCCAACGAAATCAACATTCTCCCAGACGGAAGAAACGCCTGATTGGATAGCGCTACAGTCGTGGTTAATAGTAGAAGACACACAGACCAATTAGATCACGTTTCGAGTTATTATTGTGCTACAGGAGTTTGTATGGATGTTCGAGGAGTTTCGCTTTTTATCTTAATATTTTGTTACGATTTGTCTCTTAACTATTTTTTTTAATGTTTTGTTTTGATTTTAGTCGTAGGAGTTACTTTTTAGTGAAGAAAACAGGTGGGGCTGAAGCTCTAATTAGCCCTACCCCACAAGACGCTGCTGCTCATTAACAGCAACAACAATATGTGTTAGTGCCTGGAGAAAGGTACACGTCTGCTGCCGGGAAATTTGGATACTGAAACAAGGGCAAATTCAATCCTGAACAAGCAGTTTCTTAAAATTTTCAAATATCTTGTGTAACACTGGATGTGAAAGCAATATTTTGAGAAAAGCCCAGTTATATCTTGCACATTTTTAACCTTTGATGAAGTACAAAATGTTACAAAATTGTTTGATTAAAAATATCTAGACTCAAAATATTAGTAAATCCTCCTAGTCCTAGCATGTTATTAACATAGTTTAAGCGTGTTAGAGCTTGGTTTTTGGCCTGGTATACAACTTTCTCGGCCCTTTCCCCCTCGTGCTCAAAATTGCAGACAAGTGTGACTTCTCCAGACACCCACACAATAATTATTATTTGGGGAGGGCAATGGAAGACGGGACTGCCTTGCTTGTTTATTAAGAGATAGAAGGCGGCTCTGGTAAGAATTTATTTCTTGGGGTCGCAGTAGGTACATGCATAACCGAGAAATTATTATTAACTTATTACACCTCTAAAATACTCACGTACGTATGGCATGTATACGCGCATACAAACAACAACAACAAACACACACACACACACACAGAGAAACAAAAAAAGAAAAGAAACCCAAACAAATGTTTCACAGTCGTGAGCTCAAACAACACTGCGCAGAAGTATAAATAATTTTATACCAATCATTCATGCTATCACTGTTACACACAAATTATTTGTCATATTATGCATAGTTTCTCTCTTTGTCTTCACGCTCAACCTTGCTGGAGCCTTCTCAAGACACGTGCAAATTTCTCAAACTATTGGAGTCATTTTCTCAAGACATTTGCATAGCTTTCCTTTCTGACTAAGTGAAGTTCTCATAAAGGTTCATCATATATAATATCAATATCATTCACCGAAATTGATCGAAAATTTTGGCTGGTATATCTATCTATCTATCTATCTATCTATCTATCTATCTATCTATCTGTCTGTCGATCTGTCTGTCTGTCTGTCTGTCTGTCTGTCTGTAAATGGATGAAATAAAATAAAAGAGAAAAGGATTTGTTTTTAGTTAGGCAACCAATTAAAAAGATCTAATTAGGAATGTTTGACATTCGAATTATGCCTATCCATGCATAAGCCTGAAATCAGCTAGACATGTTTTCAATCGTCGATAGGGGTATAGATCTATCAAGACTAAAACTGTTTTAAATGTAATTGAATACATATGTAATCCGAAAGCACAAAACACCAAAAGCGGATAAGTTTGAACTCTTGCAGGTAGAATAATTAATAATAACACAATTTTATACAGCTAAACTCGTGTAAGATTATTATATATTATGTACAAGCTCATGAGGTGCATGTGTAAACATGGCACACTAAATTCGAAATTCGAGGATTTGGACCTATTCGAGTAAAATCGATCAATTTATCGCGCACGGGCTCAGCAGCTGATCAACATCGACACGATAGAAAGTAGGACATCAACATACACTATCCTACATTTAATTATTTCTATGAGATAAAAGACAATCTTTCTATACAAGGAATTTTTTAGTAAAGGAAATACAATAATTGATTAAAAAAATTGTAACTATTATTTGATGCGGGTCTGATTTCTATTCACTGCTGGCCAGTGTCATGTCTGATTGCCGACAAAATGAAGCTTGTTGACGATGTTGTTCGAAGTCTTCGTGTTTCAAAAATATTTAGAGAAAATACAGATAGGATCAGTAGTTTGAATTTTTCAGCAAATGGAGAGACTCTCTTGACGAGCAGTGATGATGACTCTATTGTCATTTACGATTGCCTCAATGGAACGTAAGACTTCCTCAGACTTTCCGACTTTTTGTTCTGCTCACTCAACTCAGTACTCAGTCAACTGAAATTGAAACTCACAATACTCAGTCACAGTGACAGTCTGTGACAGACTAAACTCTAGACCTAGATCTAGATCTAGTAGTAGTAGGCTACTCATCAACAAGACTCCAAAGACTACTTTACAAATTACGAAGACTTACTAATACTGTCACTGTGTAACTGTAGCCTATGTTTCAGTTTTCAGTTTTCCACTCTACGAAGTCGAAGTGGCTATTTCTCCGAACGTTCGGGAAAATAAAGTTGAACTCTATCTATTTATTTCTCCTAACGGTTTCCGATCTCGTGATTTTTTTGGTCATTTGCGAGATTTAGGGGTCATCCTTTCATGCTGCCTTTCTGCGAGGACTGGGAAGAAGCATTTATTTTTTTGCATTGAATTCAATTTCTAGAGCTAGAGATTTTTAAATGGGCCACTTCTATTCTCACCCGGGGTGAGAATAGTGCAGGCGAGTCTTTTGGCTATTCTCACCCGGTGCGCGTTCACCGTTATAGCCTAGATCTAGGCCAACAAATTTTGCGTTCACCCTAAACCACAGAATTCTACACTGTGATAACAGGAAAAATTGGAGAATTCTGTGCCGTGAACAAACGTTCCATTACAACTGTAGCCTACTAAAAGAGTACAATTTTGTCTGTGAGCAGTGGAGAGAGAGAGAAAGAGAGAGAGAGAGGAGTAGCGCGAGAACTTCCGGGCAAAACAAAATGGTGTCCCGCGTAGTTCGACTCGATTCGAAAAGTTAAATAGCTGTAGCATCTTTGTAGACAACCAAATTAATTTACTTTTGTGTTTTAACATCATTTTTAAACTTTGTTTTGGTCAATTTGATCGTCCACACCAATAGACAGTATTCAGAAAGAGACAGAGAGAGAGAGAAGAGGGGAGGAATAGATCTTGCGAGAACTTCCGGGCAAAACAAAATGGCGACCCCCGTTGTTCGGCTCGATTCAAAAAGTGAAATAGCCATAGCATCTTTGTAGTCGATAAAATTAGCTTACTTTTGTGCTATAACGTAATCTTTTCTTTGCCTTTATCCATTTGATCATCCACATCGATAGAAAGTATTCCGAAATTAGGAAAAACAGGTCTTGTTTCAAACCGGGTGGGAATAGCCTACGGTGGCAAGTCTCACCCAGGGTGAGAGGTCGATCGTATTTCTATTCTCACCCCGGGTGAGAATAGCCACTTCCTTTTAAATGTCTGAATATTCAGATACTTCAGTTGTGGTTGGGGCAACGTTCATTTGAAAATACCTTCAAAAGGTACTACGAGACAAGACTGTTCGACCTTGGCAAAAACTAAAAGGCTTCATGTAAAAAAAAAAATCCATCCCCCTGTGCACACCTTACACACACCGACCGATTGACCATATTATAAAGGCACATGCGGCTAAACTTAGAGACAGAGAGGCATTTTTTTCGGACCGAGTCCGAATAGATAAAAATTATATTCGGACTCGAGTCCGAATAGAGCTGGCCTTATATAAAGGTAGCGTCAATTGCCACCGAGTGAAGTGGTGTCAAGTCTGAAAATATCACTATCTTTAGCATTTAGATAATGTGTGTCTAATGGGTCAATTTGTTCTCAACTAATTTCAGTGGACGAGCATCTAGTCTGGAGCTACGATACCAACTTGGCGTGTTTTCAATGAGACGTAGGCCTAGATCTAGGCTAGCCTTAGCCTACACTTTGGTGTAGAACCAACACAGGCAATTCTAGAAGTAGAAGGTCACAAACGCACACAAACTCAAGTAGAAATTCACGTTATATCGGGGAACATAAATCGGGGGATGGGGGTCAGGAAAAGACACACACACACACACACACTCACACACACACACACACACACACACACACACACACACACACACACACACACACACACAAACACACTAGCAATGCCAATGAAAATTTAAATTTTCACTTTTGCTGCCTTTTTTTTGGTACCTAAGAAAGAATTTTCAATTCTAAGAATTATGCTTCTTGAATTTTGAGAATCGGTTCATAAATAAAAAAGTTATGGGGTTGTAAAGGTCGGCAAAATATGGATGACCCACATATAGGAAAATACTTCTAAAAAGTGGACCACGCAGTAGCAGATTCTGTAAGAAAATCGACGATATCTCGGTAACTAATCTGAGTGTTCGAGAGAAACTTGGCTACCCAATGTGTTTTTGAGTGTAGAAATCATTTCTGCAGTCAGATTTACTACCCATTTCGTAGTTATTTTGTTATAATTAAAATTGTGGTGTACATATTACGATTTTGCGAAAAAGGGGTGAGTCCATTTTATTTATAGCATCGTATCACAACATGGGATCTTTAAGAATATATGTCGGCAGCGTGACTAAATAATTGCAAAGCTTTTTATGATGACTTTAGACCATGCCAACCGTAAAAGATAAGTTAATTCAACCTAGCATGCCGTATTATTAAAAATTCTTTTTCCCCGTTGAGACGCGAACACCCCGAGACGAGATAACCTCGCCTCGGAATACCCCCATTGCGATGTTACATGGGAATAGAGAGAAAAACAACCGGATGCGCGCGCTCGCCATTGCCCTATTTCAAGTGACCAATGAACGGGCCCAGAATAGTCATGCGGGGATTTGTAGGTCACATACATTTGCCACGAGAGTGAGGGGAAAATGGCCGGTCTCCGTGCGAAGCCGCTTTGGATAGGGGGGTAGTCGTAGATTTACGATCGGGTCTAAACAACTACTTGACACAGAACGTTCAAATTTGAGCACACTATAGAGGATAGATAGATCTATTACTATCTCGGCGTTGAAATTCAAACTCCTTATAGTTTTCGGTGTACACGATACGAAAGTGTTCCCGACACCAAAAGTATAGGTTAATTTATCTGTACGAACTTCAACGTCCACATATCATTAGTTTGTCCTATTTTCTGATTGGTTGCCGAGTTTCATTCGGATTGGTTCGGAAATAGAGCAGACCGAGGTTGACAAAGTTAGTCACCTGCGCTTCGGCCAGGTCCGCAAAATCGCCCGTAAATGGGGACCAAATTTTCGCCTCGCGGGAAAGCCCGATTGGCATTGCTAAACACACACACCTACACACAGAGGGACAGAGAGGCGAACGCACAACACCGAGCACTCAAGCACAATAAGCTAGATCTACCCACCAACGCAAAAGAGCTCCAATTTACTCGGCAATTGACAAAAAGTCAATTTTTGTCAATTGCCACCGCGTCACTCGGTGGCAATTGACACTACCTTATATAAATGACCTTGCCTTATATAATTATTGTCTATTCGGACTCACTTCGCTACCGAAACCTGTTGAGTACACTTGTAAGTCTCTAGAAATTATTCAGGTTTAAAATACATGCAGTGTCAGTAAGGCATCATTTTGTTTCGTTTCAAATAGAAATAGAGTCCACTTTAGGTATTGCAAATTAAAATTTTAATTACAATTCAGTAGGCCTACTTTTTGCTGTTTGCCAGTCTAACCATCATTACAAGTTAAGTACGGCTAGCCTCTTCCTTCTCATTTTGTTGTGTGTTAGGCCTATAGGCTAGTTTTTCTGTAATTATTATTTTTTTTAAATCACATTTTTCATTTTATCTAGCAATACTACACGCCCCATGTGGCAGTGTGAAAACGCGGTAGACTCGCCTGATCCAGGGGTAACCCCGGAACATGTTTATTTATAGCATTGTTCTTAACGTCAGCCCTGTGTGTCATACATCAATACACGCAGGAGAAATTGAGTCATTCACTGTGAAGTAAAATTTTTTCTCATATAATCTTTAGCGACAGCCGAGATATTATTGAAGAAAGAGGATTGGTCGGTAAGGAGACTGAAACCCACCGAATGGCACCGTGATTTTCGGACTCTCCGTATATAGAAGGTGCGGAATCCATCTAAATATTAATCAAACGTCTCCAAAGTCGGCAACCAATGAGAAGAAAGAAGGATCTAGCCACAGGTGATTTCTGTGTCTTAATCGAGCTAAAAACAAAGTCACAAGGTGGTTTCTTTGAGGAGATTGTTTTAAAATATGTGTGGTCGATTAATCCGTGGAATGCTCCTGCATCATCTCAGACAAGCTGAACTTTACAATATTAGAAACTATTTCATGAAATTATCCTAAAAAGCAATCGCATTTTGAAATTCTTTAAATTCAAAAGGCATACTTCTTAAAATTGAAAACTCTTTCTTAGGTACCAAATAGTAATGGGCTAAGGCAAAAAATTGACATTGCTATATATATTATTTATGGCATCACACTACTAAGGGAAAGGCGTAGTAATAGTACTTAGGGTCAATCAGGGTTGTTCAGGGGGAGTTAGAAAAAAAATCTGGAGGTTACAGGGGGGAGGCCCGCTTGTTTAAAAATCATAATTTGGTATTTTACAATTAGGTTTGAAATTTTCTTGAAAATGATTGATTTGCGACAGTTCCAGTGACTGTGTGATCTGCTGCAAAAAATACAACAGCTTAACCCTCAGAGCAGTGCATTTGTGTGTAGGAGTGAAAGTAAGAATTTACTGTTCCAATATACAAAACTTTAAAATTTGCGATGGATAGCATTTAAGTAGAGGTAGTGTAAATACAGCGGTTCAGCTTTCTTGCAGCCTTCTGAGTATGTGGTTTCCTTGAAATCGGGGTAATTCAAATTCAGTTTGTTGTTTTTTAGCTCTTCTATTATAAAACATAAAATTCTACTCTATTGAAAAAGTTCTGCTTTTCCTCATTACTATGTATTTTTGAATATTTGGAGCTCGAAAATTGCTTGAAAGGGAAGCCCCTCATGATCTGGATGCGAGGTTGGCCGGTTCAAAAATTGACATCCTGCATTCGAATGCTTCGCAGAAAGATTGATAATTAAGTACTGTCTTTTCATTGGCAGAGAATTATAGAACTTTGGAACGAGGTTTCTGATGGTATAGTTTTGGCATTTGAATAAAAAGCCTTTTAAAATAGCGTAAAGATTTCAAAGATAATTTTTTTACTTGAAATATGTAAAATATCAGTCCAAAATCGCACCAATCCAAAGATCAGTTCATTTTCTGTTGCATTGGTCTTTCGTCTTTCCACGAGACTCTAGTAAAAGTATTACCCCTTACATGGGGAACACTCAGTACACTACTATTCACAATAGTAAAGATCTGTATCGCTTGCCGCAGGGGCCAGTACGATGCTTGCCGAGACAGGGCTAGGTGTTTTTGTCAAAATAATGACAAAACATCACGTTTGAGGCGATTAAATACTGATTTGTTGCAATGATCTCAGAGTTTAAAAAAAATTAGGCTCCATTTCCTTGTATTGATTGTACTCTGTTAATTGTAGATGTTTAGTGTGCTTGGTATTGTTTTGTTATCTGCCAAGCATAGCATAAGGTTGCAGGCAGTTACTGAACTTTGCAATATATTTAGTTATTCAAAGAGCTGCCATTTTGATTTCTTTAAAATTGACTGAGAGGTTAAATAATAGTACCAGGTCATCAACATTCTCAATAATAAGAAAAGTGCTTTATGCCTGAACATAAGATGGAATTGGAGTTAAATAATACTCTGATGTCAATAAATTTGTTCAAATTTGTAAAACATTTCTCTTGGTGTGACATTATTTTTATAATCTCCTATAACCCCCCCACCCCCCACCCCCCACCCCACCCTCCCAAAACACCATGTATTTTCAGACCTAAGAGAACCCTGAATAGTAAAAAGTATGGGGTGGACCTCATTCGGTACACTCACGCCCAGAACACAGCTCTCCACTGCTCAACAAAAGTTGATGGTAAGTATAAACTGATGGCCAGCTGTGTAAATGTACAAATCCGAGGAAGCAAAATTTGTCCGGAGAGACAAGGTTTCATTCCTTTAACATTTGTTTAATGTTATGTAATTTTTTCATTTTTCTTCAAAATTTAGAATTTGAATTTCGACAAAATATTTATTGAGTGCACGTAACGATAACCGTGAATAAAGCAAATACATTTAAATTTAATTAAAAGAAACTTCCTTAATTTTGGGCTCAGTACATCTGAACAGCTGACCGACAAAATGTGTAGGTCTATTGCTACGGAGGACTTTCGTGGGTCATTTGTTGTATGTCATGTACATGAAGTTAGTTTTCTCAATGCTCTGTGGATGAGCCATTCCCTTTTGAAAAAATCTCCAGAGAGAGAGAACGTTTGTTTCAGGAGAATTTAAATAGGAGTCATTCTGAAAACAATGTCTCTTTTATGTAAAATGTTTTTTTCTTTTAAATTTCAGACACTATCAGGTATCTTTCCTTGCATGACAACAAGTACATTCGCTACTTTCCTGGTCACACAAAAAAGTAAGTCAGTGCCTACCTATGTTGTGTTGAAAAGCATCAATTTTCGAGTAAGGCAAGTCCAGAGGCCATGTTTCGTTTTTGATTGGATCAACTTTTTTTGCTGAAAGTATTTTGAAAAAGATTATTGTGGATGAGGAATTGCTGTTGATTTATTATAATTATGTTTTGCTAAAGGTATGAGCCGAAAAACTGTTGATAACTTGCCATCTTTTTTTAAAACTTGTACTATGGTCACTTGCTTGCATTTCTTCATTGAACTGTAATATTGTAATTATAATTCATGCTACTGAACCATTGTTCCCCATATATGGGCACTGACCATAGTTTTTTGTCTCCTCAGAGTTGTCACACTTTGCATGTCCCCCATAGATGATGCTTTCATCTCGGGTTCCATGGACAAAACAATCCGCCTGTGGGACTTGCGCTCTCAAAACTGCCAGGTAACATACTTTAAGCGATGTGCAGTAATATTTTCGTTCTATTTATGTCATATGATATTTGTTTAGATACTTCCTTTTTTTGGGTGGTTATTTGGAAGAGATCTAATATGGTGGATTCCGTATTCTGTTATGCTCACAGTTGCTTATTAGTCTCTCCTCCTGTTTATATTTAAAGATTTGATTGCACTTTGCTTTTTAAAGTATGCTACTGTCAGCTACTAAAATGCTATGTCTGTCTTTTTATACGGCTGTGAATGCTGCACAACACTGAAGACTGAAAATAAAATAGAAGCAGCAGAAATGTGGTTTCTTAGGAGATTGCTGAGAATTGCTGGGAAGAAAAATAAATCAAATGAGGTATTACTTGACCAATGGACATCTTGCTTTCACTGGCAAAACTGACGACAGTTGAGGCAGGGGTAGACCCAGAGCAACCTACTAAGAGAGCCTAAACAGATGGATGACAGGGAAAGATCAGGATAATGTAGCTTTTTTTTTTTAGAGCAACTGGACAAAAGAATGAATGGAGAACCATGATCGCTGATGCTTGTGGCAGATCTGGCTCTTGATGAGGATGACAGCCAGGTGTTTATAGTTGTAGTAAAATCTCTTTGAAGTGAGAGCTCTTAAATGATCTTCCAGGAAAGATAAGAACATTTTTATATCCTGTGCCTGCCTTACTTGAACTAGAGCATAACAAAAAAAGTAATTTTAGTGGTGATTGCAATGAACTTTTGTTGTTTTCCACTTGTCCTGTGCCAGTATCTCTTATCTTTCCTTTCTTTTATAGTGCCCTTTAGTAACATCTCAAATCTTTGGCACTTGTTTGATCTTTTTGTGTTGTAAATGCTGTAAAACTTACTAAAGCTAAACTAAGAACCAAAACAGCATCCAAAATTGTGAATTGCAACTACATTGTGTACACATTTTATAACGTGTCATACTGTGTGTGCTGGGGAGAGAGGGGAAAGCTGGAGATCTTTTGATATTGATGCAAACTTTCCAATCAGCGTCTTGGTGTTACCTTTGTTTGGCACCATATAATCACATTGTCACCCAGTGGGGTTGTGAGATTCTGCCGGAGAGCAATGTTGTCTTCTACTCATGTACCAGGAGGTGGACTTTTCAAACAGCGTTTGTATTGTCTCATGATGTTTCCCTTTTCTCCCCCTCAGGGTGTGATGTATTTGTCTGGTCGACCGGTGGCAGCGTTTGATCCAGAAGGCTTGATATTTGCAGCTGGTGTTAACTCTGAAAGCGTGAAGCTGTATGATCTTCGATCTTTTGATAAGGTGAGGTAACTGCCATTATGGAATTGTTCATTTAATGGTCAACTGAAGTGAATGATTGATTGGTGGTTGCTTTGTCTAGTGTGATCCTCTCTTTACTTTAGCTTTTATTGACCTACTCTGTGCTGTGAGGTGACAGGCTAAAACTTAACAAGATTTACTGCTTAAATAATGTTTTGTTTGTGGTTGAAAAACGTACATTATCACTGCATGAAGCTTGCGCCCATACTGTTCCAAATAACCTGAAGTACAGAGAACATTGCATCTATTGACATTGGTCTCCAAGTTTCAGATCCTTAGTCTTAAAGTGTTTTCTAATTTAAAAAATAAATGAATTGAGAAGTGGCTTGAGGGAAGTGAGGTTAAAGTTTTTCAGACTTGTCTTATCATTTTTGACTTTTCAGCATTTCAAAGGGTTCATATTGCTCTCTTATCATAAGAAAGGAAGTGGAGTCTTAAGTACCACTATTGAAAGAACAGATGGGTTGTAATAAGGGGTTGGGAGGGGGAGGGGGAGACATGAACATGTATTCTTTTTTTTTTTCATGAATAATTTTCACTGCTTTTAAAAACCTCTTCTAATTTAAAATTTGGTCCACCTCAAACTTTTTCAATTATATATAACAGGGCATGATGGAGATTGTTAAAATCAGAACGTTGTAGAATCTTTGTTGGATTCTTATCTGAGTAGGATTTAGCCACTTTTCATTCTTTTTATTTTCCTTGTTTTTAGATTTTCTTTCTGCAACTGTTATTTTTACGTGCCTGTAAAGTACTATGGTGCCTGACGTGACGTATTATAAAGTAAAAGAGTTCATTTTATTGTTATTATGGCATGGTTTGTTTTTATATATACACAGGGACCTTTCACAACTTTCAAACTTCCCCAAGACAAAGAATGCGACTGGACGGGCCTGAAGTTTAGTCCTGATGGCAAAATGATACTCATCTCAACAAATGGCAATGTCATCCGTTTGATAGACGCTTTCCAGGGAACCCCTCTCCAGGCTTTTATGGTAAGCAGAGGTTGACAAGCACGTGAAAAGTTCTTACGAGCAATTGTATTGCCTAATTTTCGGAATATCACTGTTTATGTATGAGGAGTCGCGAGTTGCAAGGCCACAAAATTGTAACAAAAATGTTTAACCAACAGTCAAATGGAAATGAAGTTCTGAGTCTACAATCTTTTAAAAATGTGGCGTCGGTGGTCTTGGGGTTAGTGGTGAGGTTGCGGGCTTCGGGGGTTTGAAGCTCATGTCTGATGTTGTGTCCTAGGAAAAGGCACTTTACCTTAATTTTCCTCTCTTTGCCCAGGAATGAATGGGTACCCGGTCATAGACAGCGAAAGGTCTTGTCAGTATGCTAATATTTTAGTGCCTATAAAATGTCTGATTATGCTGATAGGGTAATAATATAGATTACAATGCTCATAGAGCTTTCTGTTCAGCGGAATTTGCGCTACATAAATACTATTTATTATTTATTTATTATTGTGAATTCCTTTTTTGTGACCCTGCTCACTTTTTTTTCCCATGGACTGGTATACAAAGGCTTGCAAGCACTGGTAATGTTTTACCCTTTGAGCGCTAACCACCAGTACACTCGTGAGTGAGACCCTATCCCCAAACCATCCCACCTAAGACAAAACGCGCCTGGAAAACAGTGTTTACTAAATTTATTATTTTGAAGATCTTTCTGAATTAGATGCTGGTAAGGACGTGGACTACCCTTGGTGGGATATGGAATGTGATTCTGATGATGATATGAATGAAGGTGTGAATCGCTCAGGAGCTCAGGCAGATGAGCACGGTAGCCTCAGGAGTTCGGGCTCAAAGGGTTAACTTTTTTTCTCCGAGGGAGGTAAACCCTCTACCCCGGGGCCCTTTTTTGGTACTAAATCTAAAAATGACGAAAACGTCACTAAATGGGTCATTAAATCGAAACTAGCGAACCTATTATGATAGTACTTCATCTAATGAATAAATTTCCGAGAAAAGAAAACTAAAAGCAATTTGATGTCGAAGTCGTCATAAAGAAATGTGCTCAGCATTTCCGACCACGAGCCGCTGGGAGCAGCTTGCTGAAGATAAAGAATTAAGAAGTACAATATAGTTTGTACTGCTGCCTGATATCTTGGGTGATCTAGTTGTCGACATCAGTTAAGTTTTATGGTAAATTACTGGAGTGGTTAGTTTTCTGAGTACATGCCTGACTGAAAAGTTTGATAAATAGTAGTAGGGAGTTGTAGGCTTTGTTCTTACACTAAGATAGCATGACAATGTTAAAAGGATTGTATAAGCTGTTCTAGACATTACAATACAAATTATACTGGAAATCATATTAGTCTTGATCGGTATTGAAACAAATTTAATAATTGATTAAATTAGTGTTTTTGTTTCTTTTTGTCCTCTCTCATCATGGTACTTAATTTTGCCGATTCTGTCAATTTGTTTCAGGGCTTCACCAATCATAAAGGAATTCCCCTCGAAGCCTCATTCACCCCAGATGCCAGATATGTGTTCTCAGGTGAGATTAACATTGGAAAAGTGTTTCTTTTTGCTAATGTTTGATTAACTGGTACTTTGATCACACGTCCATATACTTTTTGTTTTTTAAGAGCCCAAAACAATTAATTTATATATTTGTGAGGCATCGTGGTGAAATCAGTCTCTCGTCAAAATAATGAAATCGAAGAAATCGGCATTTTTCTGTCTTTTAGGCAATTTTTATTTATTTTTGTTTTTTGATTAAACACCGTTAAGGTCCATTTAAAAACACATTTCTGTGTGGATTTTTCTGAAAAATGTTGACTTAAGGCACGAAAGTGTAAATTTGAAGTTTCTAATGACTCTCAAGCTTTAGAAGTCGCCAAACTTTGACGGCCATTTTCTCGCTAATTTTACAATGGCAATCCCACCTCCTTCAATTGCAAATATCTTGGCTTCTATTCATGATATGTGAGTATTTTTTCACCGAAAGCAAGACAAATGAACAAGCCTTAAAATGATATATCAATAACTCTACATGTCCAAAAATTGACGAACGCTTGATTCCACCGCTCCAAGGCACATTTTTTGGTGTTCGTGTTTTGAAACATGATGATGTTGTGCTATTGAAGCATTGTTTACTAGGACAGAATTTTTACAAATTTTCAACTTCATAAGCTCTATTTTAACAACAATTTCACAAAAGAGCACCAGATATTTTACTAAATGTGTTATCAGACAATGTAGATTAATTAAATAAAAATAATTCAGTGTTGGTTGAAAAATGTCACAATACTTTATTGATATTACAGTGGAAGAAATCAAACATGTACTTTTACTACTAGCACCACATCAATGTAGCTTGTATAATTTTTTCATCTGATCTTCAAACCACTATGTGACTATACAGCTGTTCTCTCCCTTCACTGCGACCCACAGGGTCCACGGACGGCAAGGTCCACTGTTGGAGTACCGAGTCCGGGGTCAAGATGGCCATTCTACAGTCGGACCACCCGGGCCCCATCCAGTGCATCCAGTTCAACCCCAAGTACATGATGATGGCTTCAGCCTGTCAAAACATGGTGAGTATCCTGTAACAATAGTTGAGTTAATGGGTGGTTGGAGAGTGCTGATGATACATGCGGCTGACAGTGAAGAATATATCGCTCCTTTTGTCAACATCAATGGGTGGCTGGAGGCTTTCGCCACCACTTTCAGCCCCCACCCCCTCACCTCCTTTGTCCCCTCCCCTGAGCTACTGACTCTTTCTACTGTTTCCCCTTGGCTCCTTCTTACTGCTGTCTTTCAGCCACGCCCCTGATATTATGGTAGGCAAGATCTACACCTAGCCTTCTCGGACAAGGGCGAAAAATCTTGGAGGTTCTCTGTGCAAGTTGCAGATGTTAAAGATCCCTTGGTGGTCAAAAAATTGATAAGAGCCTCCTGGGCAAAATTCAAAATTTCCTACCAACGGAAAATGTTTCGTGTGTCCTGTGCGCTCATATGACCTTCTGTAGTTGTAAGCGCCGTAAAACACTTTTCTGGTCTGTAAAAAAAAAGAGAATATACCTGTGGGTGGTTGGCAGATTCTTTGGTGTTGTTGGCCCTTTTTTTCATGTGAAACATCTGTCATCCCTTTCTTTCCTTCTTTGTGTTTGTTACTCTCTTGTAACACCTCTCATCTTGGCATTTATTTGACCTTATTGTGTTGCAAGTGCTGTAAAACTTTTACTAGAACTATTAGTTGGAAAGTGCTGATTGTACATTGTACGCCCCTGATATTATGGTAGGCAAGATCTACACCTAGCTTTCTCGGACAAGGGCGAAAAATCTTGGAGGTTCTCTGTGCAAGTTGCAGATGTTAAAGATCCCTTGGTGGTCAAAAAATTGATAAGAGCCTCCTGGGCAAAATTCAAAATTTCCTACCAACGGAAAATGTTTCGTGTGTCCTGTGCGCTCATATGACCGTCTGTAGTTGCAAGCGCCGTAAAACCCTTTTTTGGTCTGTAAAAAAAAGAGAATATATCTGTGGGTGGTTGGCAGATTCTTTGGTGTTGTTGGCCCTTTTTTTCATGTGAAACATCTGTCATCCCTTTCTCTCCTTTTTAGTGTTTGTTACTCTCTTGTAACACCTCTCATCTTGGCATTTATTTGACCTTATTGTGTTGCAAGTGCTGTAAAACTTTTACTAGAACTATTAGTTGGAAAGTGCTGATTGTACATTGTACGCCCCTGATATTATGGTAGGCAAGATCTACACCTAGCTTTCTCGGACAAGGGCGAAAAATCTTGGAGGTTCTCTGTGCAAGTTGCAGATGTTAAAGATCCCTTGGTGGTCAAAAAATTGATAAGAGCCTCCTGGGCAAAATTCAAAATTTCCTACCAACGGAAAATGTTTCGTGTGTCCTGTGCGCTCATATGACCTTCTGTAGTTGTAAGCGCCGTAAAACACTTTTCTGGTCTGTAAAAAAAAGAGAATATACCTGTGGGTGGTTGGCAGATTCTTTGGTGTTGTTGGCCCTTTTTTTCATGTGAAACATCTGTCATCCCTTTCTTTCCTTCTTTGTGTTTGTTACTCTCTTGTAACACCTCTCATCTTGGCATTTATTTGACCTTATTGTGTTGCAAGTGCTGTAAAACTTTTACTAGAACTATTGAGTTGGAAAGTGCTGATTGTACATTCGATTGATGGTGAAGAAGAATCTATGGCTTCTTTTGGCAAAGTTGATGGGTTGTTGGAGGTAAAGAGTATATATCACTTCTTTTGGCAAAATGGATGGATGGCTGAAGGGTGCCTCTTGTAGCTTTGTGGCAAATGGTGGAGGATTCTCTTCGTATTTTGAGACTTGGTGGTTTTGTAGGTACTGCAACTTTTGAACTGTTTAAATTTTGAAGTGTGATGATGGCTCTGGTTGGTCTTACAAAAAATAGAAAGTGACTTTTCTAGTGGGTTACAGCATACATGACTTTTTACAACTATTTATGACAGACAAACTTAAAAAACCTAACACATTCCCAGTGAATTGAGGGTCATTATTTAGATGCACTGTCTCAAACTGGAGGAGCAGTCTCTCTGTAGAATTATGCTAATCGACTTCTGTATCTGAATGTTGAGTTCATTGAGCTGAAAAGATAATAATTTTGGGAAACTTTGAATTGTTGAATTTTCTTTAACGTTGGTATGTGGTCTCAGTCTCGTTTCCTTTCTTTTTTTCAGGCATTCTGGCAACCTGCAGTTGACGACTGATCCTCTTTTTGCCTCAAGTTCATAGTTGACAGCATTTCATTTCACATTTTTGTTGCTTTTATTTTTTTAAAGTCATTGTAGCTGTTTCCTTCATGTTCATATCATTTTCATTAAAATCATCTGTACATAATGAGTCATTAGTGAATAAAATGTCTTTGTAATTTTATACTCATCTCTGTTGATTTGTTTTCTGTGGAGAAATAGCAGTGATGCCATATCAGTTTCCTCTCTTGAATTTTATGGGGTTGGTTTGAAATTCCCTTGCTCTTGGAAATGTGTGAAAAGGGTGAATAACACGGGGGTTCCCGTTTCTGAATAATAAGTTCTGTTCGTTCATCCGACATGTGTGTACGTGGAGAGTTAGAAGTAGAAGTGTGTGATCATGAAGAACCAATTTGTTTCTACACAAATCCAGTGGTTGCTCATGCAATACTTGGGGTACAAATGAAAAATCTCTCATGAGCTGAATATTTTTTTTTTTGGTCCTGCTTCTTGTGTAGAGATGTCTTAGAGATGGTTGCTGTAAACTTTGCTTAAAATAGACACAAAGCCTAAGTCGCTAGTTTTTTTTGTTGGTGGACTACTGTTGTGAATGTTTTACCACCAAACCTCCCCCCCCCTTGACCTCTCCCCCTAAAACACTCCACATACTCATAAGGAATACCTAGGGTTTATGAGCGACATTGTAGTCGGAAAATGCAGATACTCAATAAAATATATTCCCTAAGTGGGAATCACTTTGTTGTCGTTTCCATGCAAGGTAGATAGAGTCCAGTCTTTACACCACAGACACCACCTTGCAACTTTTGACTGGTGCAGTTGTTTAAAAAAAATTTGGTGGTTGGAGGGCACCACTAGTAGGTCCTACTTCTTTACTTTCCTTTAGTTGTTTCTGTGTGCATTACTATTTCCCAGCACAAAATGACTGTTCTTGTGGTGATGTGCTGCTCTTAACTCAAACAAAACAAAACAATCATAAGAAAAACATAATTGTGATCGAATCAGATGTCATCTGTGTGTGGGTGGAATGGGTATGTTTATTTCCAAATCTATAACAAAATTCAGGCAGTGCTGAACATTGAGCAGTGTATTTTGTAAGGTAAGGGCATAATGTTACATTTTTAACTCAGTGTGGGTATTTAAGAGTAAGAGTAAGGACCTCTCAACACAACATCAGTCTGAAAATGGACAATGCCAAGTGGATGGAGAACCTTTACAACTACGCACATGAAAACAACCAACTTGTGTTGCACAAAGTTGCAAGCGCCATAAAACTTACAAAAACTGAAAACTGAACCTTAAAATTTCCAATCAACTAAAGTTCACGAATCCCTTTTTTGAAGATTTGAACTGTACTAATACAGCATGATACCAACTGAGCTGATAGTAGTGATAACATGGCATGCAAAGTTGGGCTATGTATAACACTTAAGCAGATGATGTCAAAGGGAATGCAGAAAGACATAATTTTTAACCATAAAAATTGTGTATCAGCTTCTCGTCTACTTTTCAATGTTATGGAATGCAACATTCAAGTTTCATTTTGTACATGTACTAAAGTAAAACCTGCTCTAATGGCCACATGTCCAAGACAACCACCTTAGATACAAACAACCATTTCCCGAGTTATTGCCTTTTCTTGCTTGGTTGGCCTGTTCTTTAAGCATTTTCCAACGTAACATGGTGAAGTTAGATAATTTCCCATGAGACCACAGGCTATTTGTGAGGCGGCGATGCGGAATCGGGTGCTTGTCAATTTTTGGGCATTTAGAGTTATTAATATCATCTTAAAGATTGTTTATTTGTCTTACTTTCAATGAAAAAAATACTCATCCGTCTTAATTTAAAATAGAAGCTGAGATATTTTCAATTGAACGAGGTGGGGATTGCCTGATTTCAGAGGTAAAATTAGTGAGAAAATGGCAGCCAAAGTTGGGTGACTTCCAAAGCTTAAGAGCCCCTGGAAACTGCAAAATTACATTTTTTAAAAGCAACATTTGTCTGTAAAATCCACACAGAAATGTGTTTTTAAATGAGACTAAAAAGTGATGGGCCTAAAAACAAAAATTCGATAAAAATTGCCAAACAAGCAGGAAAATGCTGGTTTCTTCGATTTCATCATTTTGACGAGTGCCTGATTTCACCATGCTGCCTCACATTTGTTTCCAACACTTGGAGGGTTAAAACAATTGCTTTAAGAATGGCCATTTGACATACTGTACCCTTTTTCTTAGTTTCAGGTTATCTGAGGGGTGCAACATTTGTGAGCCGGTCTGAGAAAACCAGGAATATGTCGCTAAACCTTGAACCAAGATATCAGCAAAAGTAATTGGTGTGGTCCATTTTAAGTTTTACATACCAGGGGATTCTCCAACCATAACAACTCAAGAGCTGTTTCTTGTAAAAATCGCTTTCTCAATTTATTTTCCATATAAGCATTCAGTTATTGAAAAGCAATTATGGTGTAAATTAAATCTGATTACCTTTTTCTCAGTTCTTACTTTTCCACCAAAATGTATCTCATCTTCTAGAAAAGATAATTTGAAGTGCACATTACTCAGGAAGATCCCAGCTTTCAGAAAAGTACAAAAACTCTTAATGGCCCACAGGGGATATATTTCTGATTCCCTCAGACTGACTCACATTTCATCAGTTGTGTTGTGCTGGACTCCGATAATTTGGATAACCCTGGTTCTTATCCACAACATGGAATTTTCAAGGTCGTTTCAAAGGCAAATGTTTGATCAGAAGTTCTGCCTTTAATTTTCAGTGTTAACACAAAGTATTGCACATGCACCATAATATCATACCAGTAATATCAAGCAGATGTAGAGATAATAGACATCTTAAGACTTGCTCCATCAATGTTTAGGTGTCCTTATGTCTGAATATGTGAAGGTAATCTGCATGCACGAGAAAAAAAAAATCTCTCTTGGTTACGAAGGGGTAAATCAAGGTACAAAAATAAGTACAATCATCAGTGACCACTGAATAATAGTCTTAGGGCTATGCACCTAAAGTATTACATTACTTTCATTTAAGGGAAGACCCGGGTCGGCGATCCCAGACAATATCAAAAAAATGTTGAAACTATCCAACTTTTGTTTATTGCGTAAAAATATCCTTTGACATCTGTTCTATCGGGTCACATTGACGAAACTGTTGAAAAATGACCTAAAAGGGTGTTTGAAAAGTGCAAATTGCTCTAAAAATTAAATCCTTTTAAAAATCCCTGTTTTTTCTGTTTTTCTCAAAATCTACTTTTTGACATATGTGACCTCCTTGGTGCAAGGAGTTTTCAAAAATTACGGAAGCTAGAAGTTTCAAATTTGGCGTACAGGTGCTTTAAGATCTATTCTGGGGATCTATATGAGGGAATTGGGAAGTATTGGTAACTTGTGGAAATATTCAAATTTTTTGTAATATGTACCTCAAAATTTCATCAACTGACTCTCGGGGGTCCAATGACTTTGGGCTCACTTTTTTAGTTTTAAAGATAGGTTAAAATCCTCACATGGATCCCCAGTTCATATAGGTTTGTGCTTGTGTGCCAAATTTCAGGCTTATAATTCAATATTTACTATGAAATTCTTCTGCACTAAGAAAATGGTTTGAAAATCCAAGATGGCTGCCACAGAGACCCATTTTTCAGAAAAATTTAACAAATTCACCCTAAGTACATCCTATTTACGGTATTACCTATGAACTTCTTGCAAAATTACATGAAAGTGAATAAAAGTCATTCGTTTAGAACATTTTTCTGGGAGTGTGCGTCTCCTCTTAAGTAAGTCTATGTTAAGTTTACAATGAAATAGAGACCCTATTACTTTCAGATGGATGAAATCTATGCATGTTTTCACAAGCAGTCACATCAGATGTAAGGCATTAAAAGTATTTTCTACCATGTCACTAGTTACATGCTTATATAATATTACTATACCTTAAAACATGGTGGAATGTGAAACCACAGGACACAGTAAAAAGTGGACCAAAAACGTATCCAAAGAAAACCCTAGCAGTGTAAGTAACTACCTCCTTTAGTACAACTGAGTCGTTTTTATACCCAAATAAAATCAATTAGAACTACACTTCTTTTCTTCAAAATTCTCAAAACCATGGCCATACCTGACATGGATTTCGCATAATTTTTTAATGTAGCTGCCAAGGACATCTGAAAGATAAATTTGCGTTTTTGCGCACAAAAATCAATTGTTTAATTTGTTGGATAGAGAAAATTGTACAGAGGAATCCACTTACATAGACCAAGGTCAACCTGAAAACAGTGATAAACCGAAAAAAAAAAATAGAATCTCAATTTTTTTTTCCCCCTCTCAACCGAAAACACGGCTAAATCGAAAGAAATCTGTGGATCCCGCTAATGTCAGTAAAAATGGACTCCACTGTAATAGTACCTATAAGATTAAACTGCTTAGCTATAACTATACATATATTTTTGTTATGTTTGAAAATGTACATGAATTGAAACCCTTAGGTAAAAATTGCAAAAATCTTCATTCAGCTGATATGTATAAATAAATTCAGTCCCGATAAATGTAAAAATAAGTCTTTTAAAAAACTTGAGTACAATCTCATAATCACAAGGGTAAAAAAGCACATAACACAATAATAATTGAGCACATAAGACAAGTAAATCCCTGTTTACAATTTAAGTTCAAGTGGTGGGCACAAAACAAAATGACAACACTGGATAGAGGCACGTTGCACGTGACATAATCAAAGCCAATTTTGCAGTATTTTCTTTAAGGATTCATTCTTTGTACTTAATCGTGAATTCACTGCCCATGCAATGCAGTGAGATTTCCTGTGAATTCATTTTAAAAAACCCACAACTAACAAAGATGTTGGCCACTGTAATGTGTCTACACAAAAATAATTTAGAAATTTGTGTTCTATAGACCAAGAAGAGTCTTGTAATAGTTTTGTAAAAATAGAAATGTGGCAAGTACTATAACTAACTATAAGCTAAAATGGTACACTCATTTCACCTAGTCATAAATGTTAGGCAGAGTGGAAGAGAATGATAAGGAAAATAATTTGTAAATAGGTTCTGCTATGTGTCCGGGGCTGTATTTTATGAGTGAAACTTACTACACATTGCATAAACTGACATTTCTAACGGCTACAGTTTTAATATTCTGGTCAAGTCAGCTCCTACATTACTAACGTATTCTCTGAGCCTCGCGGAATCCCTGAAGGCCTTGGAAAACACATAAAAGGGTGAATGGTTGTAATAGTAATATCAATAAGGAAAAAAAAATATCACAGGTTCCTTTGCCATATTAAAAGTGATGAACAGCTTAGGAGAATGTTTTGAAACGAAACAAACTTATCACATTTTCAAAAAGGCATGTCAAATTATGAATTCAAAATTGACTATAACAGTTCTTCTTTGAGAAAAATGTCCAATGAAGGGATTAACTAACAGTCAATATGCATGTGTGTGTGTGTATTTGTGTGTTTGTGAGTGTAGAATAAAAATCAGTAAAACAGACTTTTAGGTGCCATTGATATGAGAATAAAACATAAACAAGTGAATATCCTTAAAACATATAGCTGTTGTATAATCAGCATTGTGAAACCTTGTAAAAATTGTCACTTGGGGCAGGCCAGATCTTGCATGTCTGGTAAGAGAAATAGAAAATACTTGGGATCTACAGAGCTGCTGCATATTAGTATTAGCACAGGAATAAAAAAAAAGATTCCTGGCACAAAATCTACATTAAAATAAAAGAAACAAATCAATGTTTCATGTGCATGACAATAAAAACTCGTAAAACAGCAAAATTTGTTAAGTAAATATCCAGCCTTCTTTCCAAAATGAATAAGAGTTATGAAAAATGCATCATTTATAATTATGATAAATTAAAAAATTATTCCATCAGAGTCAGAGTTCTTTATAAGCAACAACTAGAGTATACAAAATGGGGGCAAAAGTATTAACAGTACACTTTCTAAAAAAAACAACCTTTTCAATCCTCCACAGCATACCATGGAATTTACACAGCATAAAGTACAACATTGGTATTTCAATTCTCCACTGCTGTGATCTTGAACGCCCACAACCACTGGCAAGGCAATTCATTCACAGAATATAACGGTATGGTGATGTCCACCCCTTTGGTACTCCGTGGTTTGTAGTCCAAAAAAGTCGAGTCTCCCACTAGGTTGATCTTGGAGACCTCCGAGACGAGAGGTAGCCCGAGGGACAGCAGCTCACCGGGCCAGTTGAAGACAAACGCGTAGACAGTGGTGCTGCCGGAGCTGTTGTTCTTTGTGTACCTGTG